GTAGTACATCTTCATCCTCTTTGCTCTTCCTTAGGTAGGAACTGGCTGGTCTTGGCCTGAGATTCTCAAGTACAGGAACAAAGTCTTGCGCTCAACCGGTCCATGGAGTCCTGTACATCTCAATATCATCACTTTGATTCTGTTTAAACATTAATCATTTCCCACATACTCTTCAAATCTTTATACGTCTTTTCCCAGGCCTTTAAAAAAAATTATACATTGCCACCAGAAATAGTAACCTCTTGTGCATTTTGTCCTCCCTTCCGGCTTCTTGTCTATCACGGTCAAAGCCGCCCAAATCTTTTCACATATAATACCATTTTTGTCTTGTACTCCTCTTACTTTTCCTTGTATTTTCCTCGAACCTCGTCTCTCCATTTCCACCTTGGTGGTTTGTGTATTCGCCTCTTTTAATTGTCTCACAGCCTCTGCAAGTAAGTTATTATTTTTACAAATTTGAGAAGCTGCCTTATGAACGTCTTCTTTTACCTGACCAAACAATTCTCTTTTCATGTCGGAAAGAAAACCATACAATTCATCTCTTCTAAAAGAACATAAGAAGTGGCTGTCTGCCGAAGCATCACAATTAAAGAATTTAAGGCAGGTTGGCAACATTTTCCTTCAAAATTATAGGAAAGGCTTCATATGCCAGCTTCACTATTTTTTTAATCTGGTGCAGGAATTTTATTTTCAGTTCAAACAGGACTCTGTTTTTGCATCTACACACCACTTCCAATTGTCCTCTGAGATGAGGGAGGGAGGGGAGGGGGAAAGGGACATTCCAGGACCAAATCCGTAACCGGGATGACTTCTGTCATTCTGGGACTGTTCCTGGAAAGTCAGGAAACTTGGAGGGTATGTGATCCTGTGCCTTGCGTAGGAAGTAAACACCTCCCACCCTTGAGCTTGACCCCTCTTGCAGTAGCACAACTTCCGCAGGGACAGGCAGAGTCTCTTTCCTGTTTGCCCCCACCCCCGGAGAGAGAGGATTTCCCCGTTGTGTTTACAGAAAGCCCTTCCTCTTCCACTCTTAGCCAGGGCGGAGATGGAGACGCTCCAGGGATTCGGTCCAGAATCTCAATGTCTGGAATATGTATAGCAATGCCAGGCTGCCTCTGGGCATGTGCAGAGCGCTTTGCCCTCAAGGAACAGGAGCCAGCCCCCACTCCATGCTCCGTAGGCAGGTTACGTTTCCAAAGCTAAACTCTGTAGGAGTTCATTGCCTGGAGCAAGCTAATATAAGAGGATCCACCTAGTTAGGGTGTTCTCTGGAAGACAAGTGGATGGGTGGCTTTCTGTCAATCTCAAAGTGACTGAAACACTGCCTTGGTTGTAAGAAAGACCGTAAGCAGAGCTGGATCAGGCCAAAGGAGGTAGGAATCTAGACAAACAGTGGGAATCTAGACAAACTGCCTCTGGACCTGGAGCTTCCACAGGAACATAAGAAGAGCCTGTTGGATCAGACCAAAAGGGACCCATCGAGTCCAGCGTTCGGTCCTCACAGCGGCTGAAGGAGATGTCCCAAGACAACGCAGGAGCCATCTTTGGCTGGGGCCCCATAAGCAAGTGAAATTTGGGGCATGGTGCCCCCAAGACGGGAGGCAGTACATAGCCATGATGGCTAATAGCCCTTCCCTCCATGAATTTCCCCCATCCGCTCTTAAATTGGCAGACAACACTATATTAGGAAGAACTTTCCGACAGCAAGAGCAATTTGATGGCGGAACAGACGCCTTGGGAAGGTGCTGGACTTTCTCCTTCATCAGAATTTCTTAAGCAAAGGTCAGATGGTCGTTGATCGGAAATTGTTTAGCTGGGATTCCTGCATTGCAGGGGGTTGGGCTAGATGACCCTCGGGGTCCCTTCCAACCCTGCAGTCCTCTGATCTTCTGGAATTCCATCATTTTCATGACATGCTTCAGAGAGAAGGCCCTTCCTTTGATCTGTCCTCCATCTCCCAGATTCCGTCCAACCCACACATGAAAGGGCCTCTTTCACGCACCCAATTCTAAAAATTCCAGCCTTGTCAAGAATGCCAGCAAACACTTATGAAACTAAAGGAATGAAGGGAAGGCGCAAGCCTTGAGCATTCACATCCCAGCTCCCTTCCCACATTTCACAAACACACATCCATGCTCCAAAGTCGGATCATTTCCCCCCTATTGCCTTTTGATGCTGGGGCTTTGGTGAGGTCCCAGCGAGGGAGGAGCTGCAGACGTTTGAGACAGGGCCCAAGAAGGCCTCATCCTGAACACCGGGTGTCCTTAATGTGGCTCAGAGGTGGTGTGTGGCCAAAATGGAACCCATCAGAGAACAGCCACTAGGGACAAGGAGGCATTTGCCCGGGAATTCCAGTGAGAATCAAATGGAAGCAACACACTCCTTGGGGCCATGCGGCTTGGAAGAGCCTGTCTCCCTTTATGAACCTGCCCTGGGTGCTAAGACCCTTAGGGAACACCTTCTGTTGGTCCCACCAACATCAGAGTCACGGCTAGTGGTGGAAGGAGACAGCAAGAGCCTTTACTGTCTGCTCCCAGATGGCGGCATTCCCTCCCAAGAAAGACCAGACTGGCTCCCTCCTTCATTTTCTTTGGAAACTAAGGTGCACTGCACTGTTAATTGCTGGCTCTAAATGTGCTTTGATGTATTTTAATTCCTATTTTTAATTCCTCATTGCTTTAGTCTTCCTGTCTCCTCTCCTTGCAAGTTCGCTGTCTTTACCTCCCCCTCCCAGGCAGCCTCCTTTATTGCTGGCATCACTTATCTGTTCGACAGTGGAATTTGCTGCCAAGGAGGTCTTTAAGCAGAGGCTTGACAACCATATGTCAGGAGTGCTCTGATGGTGTTTCCTGCTTGGCAGGGGGTTGGACTCGATGGCCCTTGGGGTCTATTCCAACTCTAGGATTCTATGATTCTATGATTCTATCTCCCTCCCCAATCGCTTGCCAATTAGCAGCTTTTTTTCAATAAAGCTTTTTTCTTTCAAAAAAAAGAGCATGATCTGCTTTTTGGCCCTGGGCAATTCGGCTCCAGGGACCACGCATTCGCTCCATAAAACGCACAGACGTTTCCCCTTACTTTTTAGGAAGAAAAAAGTGTGTCTTATGGAGCAAAAAATACGGTACCTTGTTTTCACAACTTTGATCCCCCATTTGGAAAAGAAAAAAAACATTGGCAATACAGTCAAACCTCGGCTCCTGAACACCTCTGCTTTGGAACGTTTCAGCTCCCGAACACACTGAAAACCCAGAAGTAACTGCTCCGGTTTTTGAAAGCCAAATGGCTTCTGGGAGTCCCTCCCCCCCCTTTTCCCTCTATTGACTTTGCCGATCACCCTTTGATCCTTGGTTGTCGAATGTTTCGGAAGTCGGTCTTCCAGAATGGATTACATTCGACAACTGAGGTTTGACTGTATCAGGATCCCACAGACCCAGTTTCTTTCAAACACAAACACACATACCCCATTGTGGCCCTTTAGCCCCATACTGACCACAAACCAATTATCAAGAGTCTCTCGAAAACCCTCCATAACTACTTTAAAGACAATGACGTAGACAACATAACAACCCTCCTCCTCTGGGACGCCATGAAAGCAGTCACCAAAGGAGGTTGTATAAAAGAAAAGGCACCCCTTAAAAAACAAACCTCAAACAGTAATTATGAGAGCCGCCTTGAATCCCACCTTGTAAGAAAAGCGGGATACAAATACATGAAATCATTATCACTGACTCGTAGAATTGCTGATGGTCAACAGTTGACTCTCTTTCCACTGGAGGCCCCCAACATGCGACCACGTCTCACAGTGCAGGGAGCGCATCAGCGAGGGCCATGTGCCCGGAGCTGTGCCAAGACCAGCTTCTGGCCCTTATTTCTGAAGGTGCCATGAGCACCTTGTCTTCCCCTGCTGCTCCTGATCTCATCCTGTCCTCCCCAGAGTTTGCAGCCCCTCCTGCTATTGTATCATCTGCAGTAGTGTGTAGGACAGAAGCAGAGTTGCAGGGGAGAAGCCAGGCTCCAAATTCTGAACCACGTACTCAGCTTTTGCTAGCCAGGGAAGTTGAGAGGGGCTCCTTTGCAAAGACTCAGAGAGCTCTGCATGCCGGAAGATGCTCTTCTTGAGCCCAGCCAAGGATAAGCCTCTAGTAAAGGCTTCCAAGAGCAAACCACAAATATCACCTCTTTGGATCGCTTCCTTTTGGTGGGCAGAGCTGGATAAGGTACACGAAGGGAGTTGTGGGGGTATCAAGAGGGAGCAGTGACCCTAAAACCGGGGTCAGCAAATTTTTCAGCAAGGGGCCGGTCCACTGTCCCTCAGACCTTGTGGGGGGCCGGACTATATTTGGGGGGTGGGAAAATTAACGAATTCCTATGCCCCATAAATAACCCAGAGATGCATTTTAAATAAAAGGACACATTCTACTCACGTAAAAACACGCTGATTCCCAGGCCAGATTGAGAAGGCGATTGGGCCGCATCCGGCCCCCGGGCCTTAGTTTGCCTACCCATGCCCTAAAACCTGACATTTTTAAGCCATGACTATTGGGAGGTGAGAATGACACGTTTCAGAAGCAGCTACTCTAGTCCCCGGGAGCATTTTATTATATTCTTAGCAAAGGCTCGGGGGAAGCCAGCTGAGACCCCTGCAAGTGGCAGCTGAGTTGCTCAGCGCCTGCTCTAAGGACCACCCGCCTGTCTGTCTCTCTGCCACCCCATCCCTGCAAGCTACACGTGGCATTGGGCTGAAGGGCGCATGGAGCCCACAAGACGCAGGTTCCCCAGGATTACAGAACTATGGAAATGCACCCGTTTCTGCATGCCCCACGTCCTTGGCATGCAGCCTCCAAGTGCAGCTTCCTGGGAGGCAGTGGGCCCCCCACCCCGGGCCCAGCCAGCGCCAGGGGTTGCGCCAGAGACCTTCAGCCCGCAAGGCATGTGCTGTTGCCACTCAGTGAGAAGGCCCTTCTTCTCTCTTTGGCAAGGGGCCCAAGACATGGGTGGTAATCTTGGTTGCCCCGCTCCCCCACTTCCGCTGTTTATTTACTTATCAAGTCTGCAGATGACACAAAACAGGGAGGGGCTGCAGGCACTTCTGGAGGACGGGATTAGAAGGAGGCAACGTGATGAGAGGAGCAACAAAGGAGAGCAGGCCAGGGAGGTGTGACAATGAGGTTTGGGGAAGACAAACAGAAGCAGCAGAGCCCGGAGAGACGAGGCAGGTGAGAGGGGCGAGAGGAAGGAGCCGACTTCTGCCAAATTCCTTTGGGGGGGCCACATCAACAGGTGGCACCCTCCCGATGCTGCTGGGGGGCTGCAACTCCCACCATCTCTAGCCAGCCTGGGGACACTTGGGGTGTGTCTGTGTGTCATAATCCATAGCACCTGGAAGGCTTGAGGGCGGCAGAGGTCAAGGCTGCAGTCCTCAATAAAGTGTTACGGGCAGGGGGCAGCAGCCCCCTACTCAAAAAAGGCAGGGAAATGGGGAGGAGGGGAGGAAAAGAAAGATGGAAGCAGGGGGTAGGGCTAGATGACCCTTGGGGTCCCTTTCGATGCTGCCGTTCAATTATTCAGTGTCTGACTGGCAGCCGAGACAGGAGGCACCTTTCTCCGAAAAGCAGGCGGGGAGCTCTCTCTGGGGCACAGACAGGGTGAGGGGCCTCCAGCTGCCCCTGATTCCAGCTCCTGTTTCGACTTTGGGGTGGGAGTCACAGGAGGGGAGGGAGGGAAGTGTCTCCTTCCCTGCTGAACTGCAGGAGTGATGGGGGGGGGGCGACTGCCAGCGTGAGCCCTGGCACTCGGATGACGGGGTTTCAGTTTCCACTTGCTAATCCTTGGGCAGGGGACGCATTAGTTCCGGCCGGAGTGTTTCCTGACAGGCGCATGACGAGTGATGCAGATGGCACTGTCAGGGAGACTGACCCCCCCATCTCCTGTCGTCCCCCCCCCCCCCGCAGTAAAAAGCCACGACAGAGACATTCTGCTGCAGCAGATCAACACCCAAATGCAAAAAAGGCTGTCATTGCAAACCTGGCTTCATCCTGGCAGGAATACAGGGCTATTTTGCTCTGTGTCCTGCCCCCCCCCCCTTGGCCCTGCTGGGAGAAGGGGGAACAAGTGTCCATTTTATGTGCAATGCCCCCCCCAAAAAACTCTAGGAACCAGACCAGCGTTGCCTCCCCAGCAGCCACAGAAGGGCTGATTCTGCCCTCCGCTAAAGGGGGCACACATATGCCCTCGCCCCACCTGCCAGTGCATCAGGATACCTAATGGGTCAGAGCAAATGATTCCACCACCCCCCCAGTACACACTCCCCCCCCCCGTCTCCCCATATCACACACAGCCAGCTGGTTTATTTTTGACCTGGGTTCTTTTAATAGTTGAGCAGCTGCTGGGAGGACATCCCAGAATAGAAACTGGACATCCGAATCCCACCCCACATAATGCACACTTGGGGTCTCCGTTACACTCCTTCCCTGGCCCCACACGGAACGGTGACCCCACCTCTAAGGTCCACAGGGGAGGACAGGGACTTCCAGTGAGTTCACAGCACTGGAGAGCTGGAAGGGGACCCTGAGGGTCATCCATCCCAACCCCCTGCAATGCAAGCTCTGCTTGAGGACCTCCAAGGAAGGAGAGTCCGCCACCTCCTGAGGGAGCCCATTTCACTGTCAAGCAGCTCTTGCCGCCAGAAAGTTCTTCCTGAAGTTGAGTCTCCTTTCTTGTAACCTGGAGTCCTCACACAGATTTGCATTAACATTGCGATATCAGCCGTTTTATTTCCAGCTCATTTCCTAATGATCCCTAGCATGGAATTCGCCTTTTTCTCCACACACAAAGTCAACCTCTTCGTTGAGGGGAAAGGGGCTTGGCTCCGTGGGGAGAGACCCACTGCCGCAGGGATCCGTGGTCTGACTCTGCCTATGAGAAATCCCCTCACATTCCTGGGCTGTCTTTCTTCTTCTTTGGCGATCACTCATTTCTCCCTTGCGTCCTGAGTTCGAGTGTCTTCAACGCCCACAACACCTTTGGTCAAGGCTGCTCTCCAACTGGAGCCCTCGCAGGCCAATGTTTCCCAGTTGTCGGTGTTTATACTGCATTTTTTTTACATTTGCCTTGAGAGAATCTTTAGTCCTCTTTTGTTGATCACCAGAGGGAAAAGCAGGCTATACAATAAATATAGAATAATCAAAATCGTAATACTAATACGCCGAGGGGTTGCTCAGAGTTTCACTCCAGGAAAGCTTCAGGTCCTCCTTCCCCAGCGTCCATCTGAGGGGCTTGAGGCGTCTGGGCAAGAGGAACCCAAGGAGCGCCAGGACTGGAAGCTGAGGAAATCTTAATCTATTTCAGCATTTCAACTTTTGTATGTTCCGAAGTACACTTGTGAATCTCTGTTTTACTGCTTTCTCCTTTGTAAACTGCTTCGAGGGGTCTTGGGGGGTTTTTTGGCAATCAAGCGGTGTATAGTTATAAATGAATAAAATGAAGGGGTTGTTCCTGAGGAGATGCTTTTCCTCCTCCGAAATGAGACTCTTTCCTCAGAACGGGGACCCTTTTCCTCCTCAGAAGACGGAGCAGAGGCCAAGGAGGAGCCGGCCTCCCTCCCTCCCTCCTCCCTCCGCCTGAGGCCTTTTCCCGCCTTTTTCTTCCCCTCAGAAAGTGCCAGAAGAGCCGCCCCTCCCCCTCTCTCCTCAGGCAATGGAGGAGACCATCCCTTGCTCCCTCAGGAGGATTTTCTTTCCGTAATGGGGATTCCAAAGGTTCTTCTTGTCCTTCCTCAGGGGCAACTTATTTATTTCCTAACATTTATATGCTCTTGATGGTGAGGTGTGTTGTGTGTGTGTGGCAGTTTGGGGAAAAGAAGGCCAGGCCCTCATATCCGGAGGCCTCCTAAACAGCCACAGTCTGAAATCCATTAATTCATGTACTGGATTTTTCCGTGTATAAGACGCCCCCCCTACTTTTGGGGACCCCAAATTTAGAAAATGGGCATAGGCACTATCCGTGTATAAGACACCCCCAGATTTTGAACCTTATTTTAAAGCAAAACCCCCCCCCCCAATCTTATACACGGAAAAGTACGGTAATTCCCTCAGGCGCCCATGCGGAGTTTTAGGGGGTCCCTGGCCAGAGGATGGCTTGGGGCTCCCCTCCGGATTTGCCAAGTGTGCTTCCTCTTAGCATGTTTCTCCCTTGCGTCCTGAGTTCGAGCGCCTTCCAAGCCCAGGACCCCTTTGGGAAAGGCTGCTTTCCAACTGGAGCGCTCGCAGGCCAGTGTTCCCCAGTTGTCAGTGTTTATACATTTTTAAAGATTTGCCTTGAGAGAGTCTTTGAACCTCTTTTGTTGGCCACCAGCATTACGCTTTCCATTTTTAAGTTCGTAATAGAGTAGTTGCTTTGGAAGGCGATCATCAGGCATCCGCACAACATGGCCAGTCCAACGAAGTTGATGTTGAAGAATCATCGCTTCCACACTGGTGATCTTTGCTTCTTCCAGGACACTGGCATTAGTTCTCCTGTCTTCCCAAGTGATGTGTAAAATTTTCAGGAGACACCGTTGATGGAATCTTTCCAGGAATTGGAAATGGCATTTATAAGTGGTCCATGTTTCACGTACATACAGTAAGGTTGGTAGTACAATAGCTTTGTAAACAAGCATTTTGGTTTCCCTGTGAACGTCCCGGTCCTCAATCGGAAGAAAGCTGCTGGATTTCGGCATCAGTGTCAGCCCTTGTGGAACGATAACTGCCCACGTAGAAGGGATTGACATTTTCCAACGCTGCACCACTGAGTTGGATTTGTGGCGCTGCAGAGGGGTTGTTTTGTTCTTGTTGGTGCAGCACTTTGGTTTTTTTGGATGTTGAGTGACAGGCCAAGCTTTTTGTAAGGTTCTGTGAAAATATTTAGGATGGTTTGGAGGTCATCCTCTGAGCGTCCGCACACTACGTTGTCAGCGCATAGTGAAGCTCTGTGACGGAAGTTACGGTAACCTTACTCTTTGCTTTCAGCCTGCTTTCCATCTGTTCGATATATAATTTCTACCCCGTTGTGGAGTTTCCCTTCAACGAAGTGTAGGATCATGGCAATGAAAATAATGAATAGAGTTGAGGTGATAACACATCCCTGTTTAATACCCAATCGCACTGTGAATTTTCACTTTGAGAGCCATATGTTATGGATTGTTCCTGTCATATTATCATGGAGGAGCCGAATGATATTCACAAATTTATCTGGGCAGCCAATTTTTAAAACTACATTTCACAGGGCAGTATGATTGACAGTGTCGAAGGCCTTAGTCAGGTCAATAAACGCTATATACAGGGGCTGGTTTTGCTCTCTGCATTTTTCTTGAAGGTGTTTGAGCAGTGAAAATCATATCCACTGTCCCCATAAGGTTGAAAGCCATTTTGGGATTCAGGAAAGATGTCCTCAGATATAGTTAGGAGACAGTTTGCTAAGATCCTTCCAAGAATTTTGCCATCCGTAGAGAATAAAGAGATGCCTCGATAGTTTCCACAATCCGTTCTATCACCTTTTCTAAAGATTTTGATAATTTTGGCATCCCTAAATCTGCTGGGATCTCCTCCCAGATTTTTTTCGATGAGCTTGTGAAGTTGTTGTGTAAGTTCAATTCTGCCCACTTTGAAGACTTTGGCAGGAATCCCATCAGGTCCGCTGGCTTTGTTGTTTTTCATTTGGTTAATAGCTGTGCACAACTCTCCCAGATTTGAGGATACTGGAGGGGCCACTAGGGGCGCATCAGAAGATGGCTGACAATAAAATCTCTCCGACCCACACGAGGTAATTTGGAGGCTGTGATGGGAGTAAATAGCCTCCCTACCCCCCCCCCAGGATTGTGGGGGGGGGGCTGCCCTTGCCTGCTGTGCCCTATACCACCCCCGAATTTGTGGGGATGGGGGCACCAGGCAGAATGCCCTCCTGTGGGATCTCGGCGCTCCTGGACACCGTCTCTGATCCACGCCACTAGCTGCAAGAACTTCAAAAGAAACGATTAGGAGGAAGCGAATGCACATATTTCAAGGAAGGAGGGGGAGTAAAGACTGCTAACAGAAGAGATCTCTGATAAACAAGACAAGTCGGAGGAACAAGAATCAATCATGAGAAGATTTGCCAAGACTCGGTATGGCAAAAGGACTGGATGGGGGAGGGGGGTAAAACTTTCTCCTGGGCATTGTTGGCCAATTGGTGCCAAAGAAGGACAGAACTTTTTTTATGTATGCTACAACAGCAGCAAGAATACTCATTGCAAAGTATTGGAAGACACAAGATCTACCCACCCTGGAAGAATGGCAGATGAAGGTGATCAACTACATGGAACTGGCAGAAATGACTGGCAGAATCCGAGACCAGGGAGAAGAGTCGGTGAAAGAAGACTGGAAGAAGTTTAAAGACTACTTGCAGAAATACTGTAAAATTAATGAAGGTTAGAAGGATGTTGGATAGAAACTAAGTAGTTTCCAGCTGTAATGCTTTAAGAGATATGAAAATAATAAGGTTTCACAAATGGGTAAAAGCTTAATGGTAAGGATTTGCTGAACTAGCAAATTGAACTGGAATACAAAGAAGGGAGGTATGAGGAGGTCCGGGGAAATAAGGGTAAGAAAGTTTTGTTATTGAAAATTAATGGATGTTTTTAACTGTTTTTTATTTTGTATGTTTATTTTTTCATTTTTTGTTATACCTTAAAAACCTTCAATAAAATATCTTTTTTTAAAAAAAAACTTTCCTTTCTTTCCTCTATGTGATTAAACAAGAATCCCCCCCCCCTCACAAGTCAGAAATGCCGTTTGAAGGACTTAAGCTGTGGATTTATGTCTGTGTGGAGATAAACTTTCTAACCAAAGCATGCTTTAAGAAGAGCGTGGAATGTATAAGGGCTTTGGAATGACGCAGTTAAAAATACCGTCGCCTTATTGGGAAGTTCTGTCGGAGGACTTACGGTAAGTCTGGGAGGAGAAATAGAAAAATATAGCTGTTTTTATATTGTGGGTGAAACTCCTCAGAGGGACTTAAGAGCAACAGTTCTGTGATCAATGATGGAAAGAGCGATGTTATCTATGAATGCGATGATATATGGAAACCATCTCGATTTGAGGATTGGACGAACGGAAAAATTCACACAGGATTATTATTGGTGTTTATCAGCTTAAGGAGATTATCAGAAGAGATCATAAAGAAAAAAGAGAAAATATATGAACAAGATGAGATGTGGAAACAGCAAGATAAGACTGGATAGAATTATGAACTTTGTTTGGACTGATTTGGACATTAACGCAGTAGCAAGAAGATGATCAGAATCCCCCTTCGGATCTTGAAATATGGGTCCCCTCAACAAAATTTAAAAATTCAGCTTTGTAATTCGGAATTTATGTGATGTGATTTGATTTGATTTGATTGGTCGGTTAATAAAAAATATTTTTTAAAAAACCAGATTTGAGGATACTGCAAGCTCATCTCTAATTTGTTAAAGCACTTGCTCTCCAGGTAGGCCAGGTTGGATCCCACTGCCTGATGGATCCGTGGTCTGACTCTGTACAATGCAGCTGCCTACAAGCAATCCCCTCTCATTCCTGACCCCAGGAGCATATATATGGAATATATTTTTGCCGTGATCTGCATCAACTCATGCTTGCTTGCCGTATTTTTTGCTCCATAGGACGCACTTTTTTCTTCCTAAAAAGTAAGGGGAAATGTCTGTGCGTCTTATGGAGCGAATGAGTTGAATTGCCCAGGGGCAAAAAGCAGATCATGCTCTCTTTTTTTGAAAGAGGGAAGTGGGTGTTGAAACAAAGCTGCTGATCGTTTGCCGGATTGGGGAGAGAGATAAGGGAGTCTAGAGATAAAGGAGGCTGCCTGGGAAGGGGGAGGGAAAGACAGCAAACTTGCAAAGGGGGGAAACATGAAGACCAAAGCAATAAGGAGAGAAATTAGAAGAAAAGGACGAGCAAAAAACTCCAGCTAAGGAAAAGACACTAAGGCAAATAAGAGGGAAGGGAGTGTTGAAAGGAAGCAGCTGATCTGTGCTATTGGGAGAGAGATAAGGGAAGCTAGTGGAGGCTGCCTGGGAGGGGGAGGTAAAGGCCCATGGATCCTCAGGATTTTTACATTGGGTCACCCCAAATTCACCATCAGGTCACATAGCATGTCCATGGCTACAGCCTGCACCAAAAGAAACACACATCCACTGTTTCGTGGGGCCGCAATGGCACAAAAACATGGTTACAAAGCACAGATCCACTTGGATCCTCAGGATCCTTTTTGCATTGGGTCACCCCAAAGTCACCATCAAATCACATGTCTGTGGACACAGCATGAACCACAAAAATCATACATCCACACTGTTTCATTCAGAATATTTTTTTCTTGTTTTCCTCCTCTAAAAACAAGGTGCGTCTTATGGTCAGGTGCGTCTTATGGAGCGAAAAATACGGGTGCATTGAATTGCATTTGCCACCTTGCCCCCCATGATTTGAGAGGTCCTTAAGCAATTTGGTATCACCAGTAAACTTGGCGGCTTCGCTCTCTGTGTGGCTTATGAGCAAACACCCAATGGAGGAATTTAAGCAGAGAGTTGTTTGGCCATCTGTTGAGGTTAGCCAAGATTCCTGCCTTACAGGGGACTGGACTAGATGACCGCTGGGGGTCTCTTCCAACCCTACAATTCTGCAATTCTATGATTCATCCCGATATCAAATCCTGGGGGACTCCACGCTCTGTGGAGAAATGCCCTATTTATTCCTATTTTCTGCTTCCTGTTTCTTAGCCAGTCACTGATCCGTACCAGGCCTCTCCTCTCCTCCCACGACTGCTAACCTTTCTCAGCAGCCTTTGGAGAGGCACTTAAGCAAAGAAAGCTTTCTGAATGTCTAAATACACAAAGGCTTGAGGGTGTCAACAGAGGACTCTGAAAGGCTAGCGAGACTCCCCAGGCCAGAAACCTATTACGTCCACAAGAGGAGGGTGGGACCACAAAAGCACAAGTCTTGGGTGTCAGAGGCCACACACCCAGGCATGTGCTACCCCCTCCTCTGTGGCGCCCTCACCCACCCCGGGTGGCACTGAGGGTCTGGATTCCTTCCTCCACCCCCTAGAAAGACCTTGAGTCAAACCCCCACCCTCCCAGGGGATTGGGGGGGGGCTGAAGGAGGGGAAGGGGGCCTCTCAGATGGGGGCACTGAGGCACCTGAGAGTGGGGCTTTCTGGCTTCTGTTAGGGCAAAAGCGAGTCTTTTGACTCCCACGCTGGCATAACCTCCAAGTCTCCCGGTTTCTGATTTGCTCGCAGAATGTCCCACTTTTCCTTTTTCCAACCCTCCTTATTTTTGGAAAAAAATTAAAAATGGTGTTGGTGTGTTGGTGCAAAAGTCCTGTTTGAATTGACAATAAAATCCCTGCATCAAATGAAGGAAATAGTGACGCTGGTATGTGAAACCTTTCCTATGATTTTGAAGGAGAAGGTCACCAATCTGTTTTAAATTCTTTAACTGCAAGGCTTCCACAGCCAGCCATTTCTTAGGAAACATGTGGAGTGTTCATTCCTTTATTGTAAATGGAGCCTTACACTGTCTACTACTCAGAAGTAAGTCCCACTGTATTCAGTGGAGCTTACTCCCAGGTAACTGGGTCCAGATTGGGCAGCCTTCCACTGCAATCCTAAGCATTTTTACTTAGAAGTAAGTCCCACTGAGTTAAATAGGATTTATTCTCTGGTATGTTATCGATCGTGGGACGCGGGTGGCGCTGTGGGTTAAACCACAGAGCCTAGGACTTGCCGATCAGAAGGTCAGCGGTTCGAATCCCCGCGACGGGGTGAGCTCCCGTTGTTCAGTCCCTGCTTCTGCCCAGCTAGCAGTTCGAAAGCACGTTAAAGTGCAAGTAGATGAATAGGTACCGCTCTGGTGGGAAGGTAAATGGCGTTTCCATGTGCTGCTCTGGTTCGCCAGAAGCGGCTTAGTCATGCTGGCCACATGACTCCCTCGGCCAATGAGCGCCACAACCCCAGAGTCAGCCACGACTGGACCTCATGGTCAGGGGTCCCTTTACCTTTTGTGTTATCGATCATTCTCATGTTTCCGTTGTTGTTGTTACATCCTGTCTCTTTCTCTAACAGGGACTCAAGGCAGCTTACTGCTAAAATTTTATTTCGTTCCATTTATCCGTGGAAGGTGTTGGATTTGATCCCTTCCTTCACACATTTGTTCTTTACAACAATCCTGCGAGGTAGGAAACATGCAACATGCAGCTGTCCCCTCTGAGGATTGAACCTGCAACCTTGGCATTATCAACGCCACACTCTAACCAACTGAGCTATCCACACAGTTGATGGGCACAGCTGAGTGTCAGGCTCCCTGCCTGAGCTGGAGGCTCTGGACCTGCTCCTCCACTTGAACCCAGGGCCTCGCCCTTCTCCTTCAGTCCCTGAATCAGAGGCAGAGAAGGAGCCTGCTATTTTCCCCGCTTCCTCCCCCTGTGGCCTGGCCTGCGCTGATATCAGCCTGCGCTCCCTTTATCAGACAGCAGAAGACGGGCTGGGCAGGCCGGGCCCTGACTCTGTGGCAACTGCAGGCAGCTAGGCAGAGGCCTCTTCTAACCCTCTCCCCTTTCTCCCACAGGTGCCCCCCAGGCAGGCTGGCACGATGCCCGCCTCGCGGCTGCAGCCCCTCTTCCCCCTCCTCCTGGCCTTCCTCGTCGGCTTGGCCCAGGCGGATGAGCTGCTGGTGGCCACCCAGACCGGGCGGGTGCGTGGCATCCGTGTGAGGGTGCTGGATGGCCAGGTCTCGGCCTTCCTGGGCATCCCCTTTGCAGAGCCCCCCGTGGGCCCACGCCGCTTCCTGCGCCCGGAGCCGGTCAAGCCCTGGAGCCATGAGCTGGACGCCTCGTCCTACCGGCACGCCTGCTACCAGTTGGTGGACAACACTTACCCTGGCTTCCACGGGACGGAGATGTGGAACCCCAACCACAACATGAGCGAGGACTGCCTCTACCTCAACGTCTGGGTGCCCTCTCCCCGCCCCAAAAACGCCACCGTCCTGGTCTGGATCTACGGAGGCGGCTTCTACAGCGGCTCGTCCTCACTGGACGTCTACGACGGGCGCTTCCTCACCTACACTCAGAACGTGGTCCTAGTCTCCATCACTTACCGGGTGGGCGCCTTCGGCTTCCTGGCGCTGCTGGGCAGCCAGGAGGCCCCGGGCAACATGGGCTTGCTGGACCAGCGCCTGGCGCTGCAGTGGGTCCAGAACAACATCCAGTTCTTCGGGGGCAACCCCAAGGCTGTCACCATCTTTGGGGAGAGTGCCGGCGGTGCCTCGGTCAGCATGCACCTCCTCTCGGCCCAGAGCCGGCCCCTTTTCCAACGGGCCATCCTGCAAAGCGGAACGGCCAATGCTCCGTGGGCCACCATCACCCCGGCAGAGAGCCGCCGCCGTGCCACGCTGCTGGGCAAGCAGGTGGGCTGCCACTTCACCAATGACTCTGAGCTGGTGAGCTGCCTGCGCACGAAACACCCACAAGAGCTGGTGGACGAGGAGTGGTCGGTGCTGCCCTACAAGAGCATCTTCCGCTTCTCCTTCGTGCCCGTCATCGATGGGGACTTCTTCCCGGACACCCCCGAGGCCATGCTCAGCACGGGCAACTTCAAGGAGACGCAGGTGCTGCTGGGCGTGGTGAAGGACGAGGGCACCTACTTCCTCATCTACGGGGCGCCCGGCTTCAGCAAGGACAACGAGAGCCTCATCAGCCGAGAGGACTTCCTGGACGGCGTGCGCATCGGGGTGCCGCACGCCAACGACATCGCCGCCGAGGCCGTGGTGCTGCAGTACACGGACTGGGAGGACGAGGACAACCGCGAGAAGAACCGGGAGGCCATGGACGACATTGTGGGCGACCACAACGTCATCTGCCCTGCCATGCACTTTGCCCGGCGCTACGCTGAGCACGGCAACAAGGTCTACGCCTACTTCTTCGACCACCGCGCCTCCAACCTCATGTGGCCGCTCTGGATGGGCGTCCCGCACGGCTACGAGATCGAGTTCGTCTTCGGGCTGCCGCTCAACGACAGCCTCAACTACACCCCCGAGGAGAAGGAGCTCAGCCGCAGGATGATGCGCTACTGGGTCAACTTTGCCCGCACAGGGTAACGAGGCTGGCGGAGGGGCAGGTGGGGGCAGAGAAGGGAGGAGGCTGCCCTCCAAGGGAGGGAGGAAGGGGGCAAAGGTCCCTTCCCACTCGGGGGTGGCGGGATGCAGGGGAGGGCCTTCTCTGTGGCGGCCCCTGAGCTGCAGGACTCCCTCCCCACAGAGGTGCACCTGGCCCCTTCATTGCACAGCTTCCGGAGGATGCCGGAGACGCACCTCTTGCCTTTTGGCACTTGAGGTGCATGTTGTTAGGCCCCACCTTATTTTACAGTTGCTTTCTTGAACTGTTTTTAATCTTGTGTTTTAATGCTGTAATCTGCCCTGCGACCAGGCCAGGTATTTCATTAATTAGTTAATTAATTAAATGCTTGAAGAAGCTGCCAGTGGGGTCACAAACAGGGCCCTGGGCATAGGTCAATTGGGGGAATGAATTTTGGAAGATTCTCAGGATTCAGGTTTATTTGCAGGACTTGATTGGATTTATTTATACAGTGGTGCCCTGCAAGACGAATGCCTCGCAAGACGAAAAACTCGCTAGACGAAAGGGTTTTCCGTTTTTTGAGTCGTTCCGCAAGACGAATTTCCCTATGGGCTTCCTTCGCAAGACGAAACGTTCTTGCGAGTTTGTTTCCTTTTTCTTAAAGCTGCTAAGCCGTTAATAGCCGCTAAGCCGCTAATAGCCGTTAATAGCCGCTAAGCCGCTAATAGCCGTGCTTCACAAGACGAAAAAACCGCAAGACGAAGAGACTCGCGGAACTGATTAATTTTGTCTTGCGAAGCACCACTGTATCCCCCGTGCGCACAACTAGAAAGATGAAAAATGTTCCTGGCTATGGATGGTGTTTGATTGTCTGGCCGGTTTTAAGTGAGAATTACTGATTGGGGCAATCAGGAATTAGCAATATTTCCTTAGCTTTGATTTATATGTAGCAACCAGGCTATTCTGTCCCTCAATATAGATATTCAAATTCCAAAATGTTGACCCTTGACCATGATGAGAAAAACCTGGGTTTGAAATTTAAAATATACAGACCCACCACTTTCGATTTCTGCCCAGGTGTGTCTTGAGTCTGAGTGAGTTTGTCTGGGCAAACAGCAGGAAGAGAAGGGGTTAATACAAGTCAGTCTCTGAGCAGCAAGGGACTCCAGCCGCTTCCCCAGGGCTCAGTTTCCTTGGAATGAGGGACAGCAGACATGGTTTTAGAATGTGATGGAGGGGATCACAGTATTAAGACCTCAACGGATCTTGCTTCTCGGTTAGTCGCAGCTCTGCATTCTGCACAGAGCAAGCAGGTCTCTGTGTCTTCCAGCTCGGCTCACACACCTTCTCTGGCTCCCCCTAGGTGGGGGGACTAGAGGAAAGGCCCACCCATCAGCCTGGAGGGCCCCCGCACTTAGTCGCAGCTCTTGCAACCTGGCCGGTTCTTTTGGGATGTTGAGGAGGACACTTGAGCGGCCAGCTGAGGTCGTTGTCCTACAAAGAAACTTGTCTGACCAGTTCAGCAACAGAATCTGCCATGAAATTCTAACCCTCCCTGGGTCCTGGACCCCAAGGCTTGGCAGGGACTCGAGGCATCATCCAGACTGAACCCCCCCCCCTTATACCTCAAACCCACAGCAGGGGAAAGGAGGGGAGCCAGTACTTAAAAGAACAATGAAGCACTGAGCCAGAATACTGGGCTAGTCCCTGGCCCTGTTGTTGTTGTTGTTGTTGTTGTTTTGTATACCGCCCTCCATCCATGGATCTCAGGGCAGTTAACTGCATAAAAGCACAAGATAAAAACACCCCAAAATGCAGCATCTGCTGCCAGGTTGAGCCCAAGCACAGAGGCCGGTGCCAGAATTCCTGGGGGGGGGGCTGGTCCAGAAACTGACCGCTCACTCTCTCTCCCCCACGCAGGAACCCCACGGAGCCCTCGGACAAGGAGGAGTCCTGGCCCGTCTACAACCTGTCCGATCAGCAGTACGTCAAGCTCAACACGCAGCCGCTCAGCACCGACCGCAGCCTCCGGGCCCAGATCTGCGCCTTCTGGAACCACTTCCTCCCCAAGCTCCTCAACGTGACCGGTGGGTCTGGGCCCCTGGCGGGGGGGAGCCTCCTGAGAGTGGGCAGGGGCATGGTGGGGGGGGAGAAACAGGAAAAACACAACCCAGCCCAGGAATTGGGCCGCTCCATCGAAACAGATGCAGAAAATCCAGCCCCCTCCCCAGGTCTTTTTCAGCCGGCCCCTTGACCGCCCCCCACCCACTAAGTCTCCCCAAATCCGATCTTTTCTTCCACCCTTTCCACCAAGAATGACCTGCTTCTCCAGACTCCTCTCTATCTCTCTCTCTGTCTTGACCAAACTGACCTCTCACTACCACAGCAGAAGGTGATGCGTTTGTGGGCAGCCCGTGGCTGCCTCCTCCCTCCCTGCCGCCATTGCAATCTGGGGAAATGGCAACTTTTCCAATGAGTGTCGAGACGGGCCTTGCACCCCCCACACCCCTCTCTCCCCTTTGCCCAAGGGTTTAACTCCTCATTCTCTTCTCCCTTGTAGAGTCTTCCAGGCATTGTGCTGAGTCCAGCTGGGGGCCCGGGGGGCCCTCCGCCCCACTGGTGGTCCTCTTCCTCCTCCTCCTCCTCTTCCCCCCATGGCACCTCCTGTCCTGAGTGCCCCACGGATCACACTGAGAGAAGAGCAGGTGGAAGCCGCTGCTGCCTGCCGCAGACTGGCGGAGGGCTGGGCCGTGGAGAAGGGGGGAGGGGGCTCAGCCCAGCTGCTGCCGCTGTTGCCGCTGCTGCTATGGACTGGGAGGTCAAGAGGGGCCTATGTCCAGGGGTGTCGTGGGAGCAGAAGGGCAGAGGGGTGGGCAGGAGGCAGGGACTCACTGGGCACGCAGCCCCACAGGAGCCCGCAGGCAGCAAAGGCAGGCTGCCCTTTGGCATTGCGGCGGATTGACTTTGGGAGACAAAGACCCGTGAGCCATCCGGCATGGATTTTGAGGCGTGCTGCAAACCGGAATGAGCCGTCTAGGCAACTGAGCCCCGCAGTTCTTCCGTGACAATCCTGCTTGTCCCGGAACCAGCATCTGGACCCCTGAGAGCCCAGCAGTGCTTCCCCTTTGGGCTTGGGGTAGAACAGTTGGATTTCGGGAGCGGGACACACAAACGGAAATTCCGATTTCGGCAACTGAGTGGAGGGTTTCCACCCAGTTGCAGCAGGATGGAGTGGAGAGTGTCTCTGGTTTTAAGGGCAAAGCAGGCAGACTGGGAGACAATGAGCCCCTTTTCACATTTTCCCAGTCCACCCCCCCCTCTCAGCACCAGTGTCTGCCTTTGAGAAAAGCTTGTGGCGGGAGAGAGGCAGGGAAGTGAGCCACTGTGTGAGGGGGCTCAGCACCCCCTGCTCAGGCTCCCCAAACCAGACCTCCCACCCACCTTGCGGCAAATGTCTGGTTCAGGCACAGTGTCGGGATGAGTCAGGGTCTCTGTGTGTGTCTGTATAGCTCGTTTTCAATGGTTTTATGGTTCTGCTCCTGTCTGGTGTTTCGTTGTTCTCGTTTCATGTTCACATGCTTGAAACTTTGTGGGTTTTGTGTTCCTGAGGTCCCTGTTTGGGGGAATGGCAATAAGAATCAGTCATTTCAAGCACACACAGTCTTTGGCGCTTTGCAATTTGGGGGGAGGCGAGGCACGAAGCAAGTGGGAGATCCACTCTTTCCATCTGCTCTCCAACTGCATGACCAGAGGGGGAAAACAGAGGTGGGGGGTGATGAGGCGGGTGCATAGGGGTGTGCATAGTGTGTCTGCAAAGGGGGGTTCAGGGAAGGCCTTTTGGGGTGAAGGGAGAGGCTGCAGGAGGAAGCATGCTCCATGTTCGGCTGGACTTATAGGCACACAGATATTGGGGAGGGGGCTTCATTCCATGGTGGGTGATCCCTTTCTCAGCCTGGATGTGGCCCCAGACCCCTTTTCACAGGGACTTCTTGGGGGCCACCAAAATGCCAATTGCAGAGATGGCTGCAGCTTTGGTTGTGGGGATCACCCTTCATTTAGCCAAGGAGTCAGGGCTGTAAGATGGGGTTCGGAGGCAAGGCACATGATAGATAGATAGATAGATAGATAGATAGATAGATAGATGATAGATAGATAGATAGATAGATAGATGATAGAGAGAGAGAGAGAGAGAGAGAGAGAGAGAGAGAGAGATGATAGATATAGATAGATAGAGAGAGAGATGATGGGCTCTCCCAGGGCTAGCGAGACCTTGCCGGCACCCAGAAGCTTGGGGCGCGCTGTGCTCCGCACGCCCCAAGCTTCTGGATTAGCGCAGCGGTCCGCTAGCCGTGGGAGAGCTGGGTCTCCCACGGCTAGCGGATAGCTTCCTGAAGCCTGCATTCGCTCCATAGGACGCACACACATTTTCCCTTGCTTTTTAGGAGGGAAAAAGTGTGTCCTATGGTGCGAAAAATACGGTAGTTAGATAGATAGATAGATAGATAGATAGATAGATAGATAGATGATAGATAGATAGATAGATAGATAGATAGATGATAGATAGATAGATAGATAGATAGATAGATAGATAGATGATAGATCGAGAGAGAGAGAGAGAGAGAGAGAGAGAGATACCGTACGTTCTGGCGTATAAGACAACTTTTTAACCCAGGAAAAACTTCTCCAAAGTTGGGGGTCGTCTTATAGGGCGGGTATGGTTGTGGCGACGCAGAGCCACCTGTTGGGAAGGAGGAGAGGGAGCCGGTGAGCGCAGTCCGCCGCTTTGCTGGATGGCTGATCGGGGCTCGCTCACCTCGCCTCGGGCTGCTGCTGCTGCGACGGCAGAGGCAGCGGAAGCGGAGGGGTGCGCGCTCTGCCCCTGGCGGCGCTTGGCGGGCTTTAGGTTGGGGGGCTCCGGCCTGTGCCTGCTCCTCGCCTCGCCTTGCCGAGGGTCTGGCAGCTCTGGGCCCGTCTCCCTCGCTCCAAGGAGTGGCGAGCAAAGCGGCGTCCGGAGCCAGAGCTCGGGGCCCGTGCTGTCTGTGGTCTGCGGCAGGGCTCGAGGGCGCACGGCTTTTCTTGGTGCACGGACTCACCACCTCGTCCCAAACCACAAACATGGCAAGAGGGACACGGAGTGCGCGGGGAGCCCGCCGGGGGCGCCATCAGCCCCGGCGTCGTGTGGGGTGGCGGCAGTAGCCGGCCAGTCCCCACCCCTTCCTCTCCGCCCCCACCCCACGAGGAAGACCAGAAACGGGCGGGGGTAGTCTTATACGGCGAGTATATCCCAAACTCTATATTTTAACTGGAAAAGTTGGGGGTCATCTTATACGCCCAGTCGTCTTATACGCCAGAAAATATGGTAGGTATATAGGTAGGTAGGTAGGTAGGTAGGTAGGTAGATGATAGATAGATGATAGATAGATAGATAGATAGAGAGAGAGAGAGAGAGAGAGAGAGATAGATAGATAGATAGATAGATGATAGATAGATAGATAGATAGATAGATAGATAGATAGATAGATAGATAGATAGATAGATATAGAAGATAGATAGATGATAGATAGATAGATAGATAGATAGATAGATAGATAGATAGATGGATGGATGATAGATGATAGATAGATGATAGAGAGATAGAGATAGAGATAGATTCTGAGAGAGGGAGAGAGAGACATGTCTATCCTCCAGCCCAGAAAATAAATGGAGCTGAGTGATGAACCTCCGAGCTCCTGGCCCGCAGATCACGCTCTTAACCGCAATGCTGCCGCAGCTGCCTTTGGCTTGCTAATGCTAACCACCTCTTTCTTACACCTGGGTGTCCTCAGTGCATCTCCCCACCCTCAATAAATCTTCTGCTTGGCCCACCCAAAGACTCCCCTCCCGGCCCCAGAGCTCTGAGCCAAAATCAAACTGCCCCCCTTTCAGATCCCAAGAGGCTTCCCACCCAGTGGCAGTGCATTCCACAGGCTAGCAGCAGGTGCATGATGGAAAGGAAGCTGCCGCCTGCCAGTGAGCGAGGTGCAGTGGTTACAGCACTGGATTATTATTATTTATTTTATTTTATTTTATTTTATTTATGAAATTTGTATACCGCCCCTTCATGGACTCTCCTTCGTTGGAGGCTTTTAAGCAGAGGTTGGGTAGCCTTCTCTCGGGGATTCTTCAGCTGGGATTCCTGCCTTGCAGGGGGTTGGGCTGGATGACCCTCGGGGTCCCTTCTGACTCTACAATTCCAGGATTCATTGGAGGTTTTTAGGCAGAGCTTGGCTGGCCGTCTGTCAGGGATTCTTGAGTGGGGGGTCCTGCATTGCATTCCTAGCCATGAAGCCCACCAGGGTGGCTTTGGGGCAGTTACTGCTTCTCAGGCCAACTTCGTTTTTGTGAGGATAGAATTGGGGGCAGACAGAGTCAGGCAGGCTGCTTTGGAGAAAAGTTAAAAAAGGTGAACTTCACAGTGAAATCTCTGCCGGAGGAACCCACTTTCCCCTGTCCAATTTGTACACCAAGACTCTGGGTTTTCATGGAATTGTAGAGCTGGAAGGGACCCCAAGGGTCATCTAGCCCAACCCCCTGAAAAAGCTACATTCATCACGGGAAATCATCATTTGAGGGGAAAGGTCCCTGAGGCGGAGGTGCTGTGAGCCAGGCCACCTCTTCCATCGCAGCAGGAGAGACACAAATGTCCCCTCCTCTGGAAGGTAGAGGACGGAGGAAGGAGGAAACAGAAGCCAGCACCCCTAAGAGGTATCAGCTTAGTATTGGTGGGGAAGTCATGGCGAGAGGATGAGGTCGGGAGAGAAGCTGGGGGGCTCCATCTCCCCCTGGCCGCGCAGCCCCCCCCCAGTGAAAGCTGAACTGCATCCTCAAAACTCCCCACAGAGGGACAAGAGAGATGGAGGAACATGTCTCCGTCTGACCCCAGGTGTGGAGTCCGGGGTTCTGCAGTGGGGAGGGGGCTTTGGAGCCCGGTGAGTCTGCATCCCCCCCCCCGCAAATGCACTTTGGCCTCTTGGCAGCTCTTCCTGCCGCTTAACTCTATTTCCTTTCTCCTCCTTTCTTTCTCTCTCCTTCCCTTCTGCCCCTTCTTGCTTCCCCTCCGCGCCTGCCCCCCCCCCCCAGACAACATCGAGGAGGCCGAGCGCCAGTGGAAGCTGGAGTTCCACCTCTGGAGCGCCTACATGATGCACTGGAAGAGCCAGTTCGACCACTACAGCAAACAGGACCGGTGCTCAGAGCTGTGACGCAGAGGGGGGAGACGAGGGAATGGCCCCTCAGCCCCAACTCACTCAAGCAGCTCAAGGAAACCCCCCATCAGCCCCTCTGGTGACACTCACCCCAACTCTCCCACCACCCCACCCCAAACACCTTCCACTGCAGCTGGATCCCAGCCAATCTGAGCGTTCCTAAAGGACCCCCCCCCCGTCCAACTTCCCTCTCCCCTGACCACCCGTCCAGCCACCCAAAGCCAAGAGTTGTGCCCATCAACGCAAGCCAACCAATCCAAGCAGCTCCTCCAGCCTCCGGGCGCCCCCATCAATCTAGCTGGCCCAGCCTGCCAACACCCCACCCCAAATCTCCACCACCCCCAGGAACAGGAACCGGGCAGCAAGTTGATCTACTGCTTCCGTACTGGGGTGGGGGACACAGCACCCGGCCTTCCCGAGGCCCCTCCGTGGTCCCCGCAGTCACCAGTTCCCAGACCCCCCCACCAACTGCCACCCCCCCCAACGTAGCACCCCAAACTCGTTGAACCCACCACCCCCTGTGGTTCCTCCCCTTTGCTGTTTGGGACCCCCCCCCCCCCGCCCAACTCCTGACTCTTTGCTGTGATTTGTATATAATGTTTATTTAAAGGGGGGAATGTGATAAATAAATAAATACACACACATATATATAAGTATAAATATAAATATATATCTATATTTGGACTGTATAGCGACCGGAGCTACAGGCAACTCCCCGCCCTCCACACGCATCCCCCCCCAATCATTCACTCTGATTTCCACACACATGTCACGAGGCACCCCAAGGGAATCCACCCCCCAAGCCATCCTCAGAGCCCACCCCCAAATACTTATTACCGTAGAGCCTTGGCCAGCTCCAGGGCCTGGCCCCCCCCCCCTCAAAGCAACTGCTCTCCCAAATCCACACACCCCCTGACACCCCAAAAGCCCAACTGATCTGCTGTCCCTGTTATCAGCCCCGACCTCTGGACAAGCCCCGTGACTCAAGGGCCCCTTCGGAAACAGAGAGAGAGACCCACTCGCAGACCCCTGGAGAGCTGGGTCCCCCGCCAAGTCAGTTTGCCCCCCTTCCCTGCCCCCAGCCTCCCACCTCTTCCGCCTGCATAGCCAGCACCTGTGGAACTCCGACCTGTGTGTGAACTCCTGCAAAACCCAATAAAAAGAGTTAACCTGGTGCGGCGTCTGTGTGTGTCTGTGATGGGCGGGGAGGGGAAGGCAAAGTGGGCCGGACCCAGGAAGGGGGGCGCTGGGGGGGCAGGCAATATGAGGCAGCAATGCTCAGCAAGCGGGAAACCAGCCAACCTCTGTTCGACTTCGAGAAAGTACTGTTGCGTTCTGAAGGCAAAGGAAGGACTGGACCCTGATTCATACAATGGACACGAGGCTTGACCAGCAAGACTCTGGGAGAAAGTGTGTGTGGGAGAAAGTGTGTCGTTTAACACAGCGTTTGTAAGAACGAATCAGATTTCCTCTGAGCATTTCAAAAAATCCCCATGTGGAGACAAAGTCAGATCAGAGGAAGCCTCTT